AGCATCTGAACATGATTCTCAAAACCAATAAATAGACTAAAGGAAATCTTTGAATAAATTTCACGTCTGATATGAGGCAAGTTGAATATTAAATTCCTATAAAAAACTGTTGAAACATAATTAATTCCTTACAGTACTTCTGCCATAAAATGTCGAAATGACGGTAATCGCTGTACCCACGATTATCCTGAGAATGAGAAAATGGTGATTAGCATTGTTTGTGGATGAACTTAGTTATGTTTGATCGACTTATTGCAGACTAATTATTGCGCCTATAATCATGCATGGTCCAGAGGATGATTGTGCATTTTGTGCGTAAACTGAGTAATATATATGAAGTGATGACAATCAAAAACTGGAAGTGAATAGTATGAATGAAATGTAATCATGAAATTACAGAAATATTTGAAATCTCATTCCAGGCAGTGTAATATTGAAATATTTCACATTGGAATATTTCATTATTAATCGTAACATTTTAAGTCCACTTTTGGACACTTTCTGTTGCTAGTCGTACTCGATTTTCGCTATCATTGTCTTTTTTATCTCCTACTTAGAAGCCTGGTAATCGATAGTTTAGCTGCCTCCTGATCCTAACTTGCTTCCAGTCTCGGTTATCTTATCAAACGAACAACAAATCTTGCCTAACATTAAATGTAGCTTCCAATAACTCATATTATTTCCACGAAATCTTCTGCGGCGTCTCCGAGCAACACAATGGTAATCCAGATACAATCTGACTTTATGAAATATCACTGTCCTTCATCGTTTGGTTTAGTGAAGTTTCCAAAAAAAAAAAACCGCTGTGAAAGGGAAAAAGTTATGATGAACAGGAATTAAATTCTAGACAATATAATATCGTGATATCTGCGCATACAATTTAACTGGAAAATACACATTCTTTGAGAAAATTATTGATATGCCAGTTTTAAGTAGTCGCTCAACGAAAATTCATTCATTCCCAAAATTATAAATTCATATTATTTCCTAGTATGAATTTATAATTTTGGGAATAAATAAATTGAATAGATTTTAAATGAAATATGAACAAATGATATTTTTCAAATTACTAAATAAGGTGTTCTGAAATAGAAACGAATAAATTTTAATTGCTAAGTAATTTAAATATACACTATTTCATCTTCCTAAACATACATCATTTTAACTTCTACAATTAAATAGACACCATTTTAACTTATACAATTAAATTTTAGACCAAATGGCAATTAATAACGCTAGAAATATGAAAAATCATACAAGTAGCAAATAGTATATGATACAATAAAGATTTGTAGAAGATAGCTGCTTTCCATGAATCCAACATAATGTATGATGTTTTATTCATTAACAACATGGTTGGAAAAACACGTTTCTCAATTCATGAAATATTTTGAGAGTTACAATTTTACAAAATTTTCAAATTACCACTCAACCCAAATACTTTCGCTTGCACAAATATAAAAAAATATGAATCCAGCATAGGAGCAAGACAAAGAACAGTTATTTTGAGAGGACCAAAATGGATCATTACAAATATATTATTATTTTCACACTTCAACAACAACAAACCAAAACAACTTACAATAATTCAGCTGAAAACTGACTTCCAACAATACCTTTTAATCAACCTATGAAATGATGAGCAATGGAATAACGATTCCGTGATTTTTTTAAACCATTAGGAAGAAGTACTGGCAGTGGGACAAATATATCAATCGCTTGTAAAAAATATATATTATCCAAACAATTTAAACTTAATTATTCCTTTTGAACCCATCAGAATTATTTATGCTCATGCTCATCACAGACATAATGACCCTCTAATTTTTTAATTTCTTCACGTCTAATCTCTTCCCTTAGTAGCAACAACTCGTTTTCGTTTACCAATCCTTTCCGTAACAACCTTTCTGAGACCGACTCCGTTCCACCTGCAATACAATTATTTGGAATAAACAGTTCATTTAATTTATATAGACCTTATTTTCTAAAAATAATTAACAGATTTTGCATTATTACGAAGTCTACTATACATTAAAGTATGTAATGCACTACTGATGTCTTATCTTTTAAACCTAATCGAAATTAACTGTTAACCACAGCAACAAAAACACTAATAAACACTATTCAAATAGAATAATGAAGAAGTCGCTGTTAACAAAACAGTAAAAATTAGCACTGTTAAATTACCTTGATCATTCATTTCGTCCAAATAGTCATCTTCCTGAAAGTACGTAGATCACTATTACATAATCAATGTTATTTATATGCTTCAAATTAATCGGAGCTGAAAACAGTAATAATTTCTTGTGAAATATCACAGGGCAATAACTTCACTTACGTCATCCGATTGCAATGACGTGATATCAGACATTGTTAGCAGTGCTTCATTTATGTAGCTTTCAATCAATTTTCCCAATAGCCGTACTCTTTCTCGATCCGGAAACATATCCTAAAATATTCGGTATCTGAACTGCATCATTTTCGAATAATTTCACGGAAAAAGAATAAATATTAAAGCCTCATGCTTTTTGATGGAACAAATATACTTTCTGGACAGTTACTTCATATATATATATATATAGGATCACCTTTTCCAATTTCTTTCACCTCTGCTAAATGTTGCATTTGCCATTTCAGTTTAAAAATAAAAAACGCAGGATGAACATACGTCCACTAAACAAGAATTGAGTAATAAGATTAAATTATTTTTCATAAGGCAATAATTAGAGCATTTCTGGATATTAATCAAAAAACACTTCCTTATCTACGGTGACAGTGATTTCAAAATTCTAAATTCTAATTCATGAAGTTTTAACAACTAGGGAAATTAATAAACTACAATCACTCACCGAAAACTTATAACTGAGCCAAAGATAAAGGTCGATTAAATTATATAATTTACACATATCCAAAAGCATTGTAACACTGGTCGGTTTAGGTAACGGCCACTGGATTATTTCACAGAACCAATTGTAATTTATTGCTTGACCTTCAGCAAATCTGAAAACTTTTAGAGTCAAATGCAAAAAAAAAAAAACAAAATAGTTTCGACAATCTTGGTACTTTTATGGAAAATCAGAATCTGAATCAAAATCTGATATGAATTTAAACTCACCTTCGAGCTATACGCACGAAACATGTTCGAGCAATACCATTATCTACTTCCATATCTACTGGAGCGGTACAGAAAGCGTATTTTACCTGGAATCATTCGAAGAAATGACTACTCAGGGTGACCATTTCCTCTTCCACAGGAATGTTAGGAAGCATACTGTTTTTAAATTTACAAATATACTTAAAATATATACAAAATTACATTACCTTCATACTCAACGAAATATCATCTATGAGTTCGGCCAGTTTTCGGAACTGTTCGATGTCACATAAATGGAATTTTTTGCTCAGAGAGCTGATTGATATGAACATATCAATAATATTGAGAAATGAAGCATGAGGAAGATGATATGAGAAGGTTTCCAACTGCAATGAAATAAATTTATATAGTAATTATAGATGTTAGTTTACAAATGTCAAAGAAGATACCTGTTCAGAAGTTGGTGCGATACCCGCAGTTTCAATGGTTTTGATGGGTTCTTTCATGAATGTCTCTAACAATGGTATATCTGCTGGTCGTAAAGTCGTTACCTTCAATATGTATTTATTAGATCTTAATAATATGCGCAGTAAAGGAAAAACTTTAAATCTGAATTTCCAAAAAAATATCAATTAAAAAAAATTTACCCATCCTTTTTGATAGGCAGATTGAAAGCGACCAGCACGTCCAGCAACTTGCATGACGTGATAATTTGCCTGGTGTTCACCAAAGGGAAATTGTACGAAAATGATTCTGAATATTTCATTAATAGCTATTTTGTATTTCGCCACATTAACATCCAGAAACGATAACAACTTGACGTTTAGTGCAAGTTTGAAGTATAGTGCAATACTTTGAAAGGGAATAAAAAACCGTGACACAAAAATATGTTTCAAGATATAATGCGTGTTATTCTGGCAAGAATAAAGAACTGCATAACAAACAAATAAACCTACATACTATTAAAAAATATTGTCGCATATGAAATCAACAAACCTGCGTATATTTAAATTAAGACCCATTCCAACAGCATCGGTTGCAACCATTACATTGGGCTTCCGACTCATTTCATTGAATGTTTTCGCTTGGTTTAGTTTTGTCCACGGTGGCAATGCACCATATATTACAGTCGGCTGCACGCCCAATTTCATTAAACTTTTAACTACCGAAAATAACATAGCAACCGAAAAACATATTAAGCAATCACCATCCTAAAACAATACGTCTCAAGAATATCAAAATCAAATCTTAAATTTAATTATGAAAATGCTTAGG